CCTCCCCCCCCCACCCCCGCGCCCGGCTTCCCTGGACCAGGGGTGTTGATGTGGAAGAGGTGAAACAAAAGGGCAGAAACCCTAAAAGACATCCAAATCGACAAATTCAAAACTGTCTTGAGCAGTAGAAAAAATCGTCTTGGTAGGCATATTGCATCTCCAACGGAGACCTGGCTAGGCGCACCCACCCCCGGCCTTTCTGCGGACTCCCCGCTAGCTCTCGGCCGCCTCCGCCGGGGCTCTTGAGAACCGCAGCGAGGACGAGCAAATGGAGAGGCAGACCTGGGCGAAGAGCAGGAGCGCGTGACACAGCAGGGGCCCCCATGCCCGGGGTGCAGGCCGGCACCGGTCTGCGGTCTGTTAGCAACAGGGCGCACAGCGGCAGGTGAGCGGCCGACGGGCGGGGGAAATCTGTATTTTCAACCGCTTCCCATCAGGCATGACTGCCTGAGCTCCGACGACTGTCAGATCCATGGCGGCATTAGATTCTCTTGCCAGCGCAAACCCTATGGTAAACTGCACGTGTGAGGGCTCTCAGTTGGGCGCTGCTTATGAGAATCAAATGCCTGATGATCCCCTTCTTCCCCCTTTCCTCCCCACCAAAAAAATTGTCTTCCACAAAACTGGTCCCTGATGCCACAAAGGTTGGGGACTGCTGTGACAGCACATTAAACACATGGGTCTGAGTTAGAGAGGCAGTGCTTTCAGTATTGAAGTAAAATCCACATAATGTAAAATTCACCTTCTTCCCCCCTCCCTTTTTTTTTGAGTCTAAGGTCTCACTCTGCTGCCCAGATTGGAGTGCAGTGGCTCAATCATGGCTCACTGCAGCCTCAACCCCTTGGGCTCAGGTGATCCTTCCACCTCAGCCTCCCATGTAGCTGAGACTACAGGGGTGCGCCACCACGCCCAGCTAATTTTTTTTTTTCTTTGCAAAGCGGCCAAGTGAAGCTATGTTCACCAGAGCTGTCTTGAACTCCTGGGCTCGAGTAATCCTCATACCTTGACCTCCTGAGTAAATGAGCTACTTTATAGATAGTCCTTAGGACAGACCCTGGCACAATAAGGGCTATGTGTGTTAGATGTCATCATCATGGATTAGAGAAAAATAAGCACTTATAACAAGTACATTGGTGAGCACACAAGAATGTCTCACTCTTCTGGGAACAAGACTATTCTGTACCATGGTGACCAGTAGTCACCCAATTGGATGTAAGCTCATTCAGTGGGTCCAAGACAGTGTGCCTCAGTGAACATGCTTTTGCAACCCAACCAATGACTGCCCTTTGCTTCTAGGATTCAGCCAACCAGGAAGAGATGCACTCCAACACAAACCCCTGTGAGTGCCACCCAGCCCCACCTGAGCAACCACAGGCCAACACGCTCCCCGAAGACTCAGTCCCAACTCCACACTTGCCCAATCCCTACCTACAAAGATCAGAAGTCTGCACGGCAGAGAGTGTAGACCTACGAGGGGGGACCCCCCCCAAATTCCTGGAATTTATTAAAAATTATGTATCTACTCTTACATGTTTACACTTTAGTCACCCTCAAAGCGGTCTCCGTTGGAGATGCAATATGCCTACCAAGACGATTTTTCTACTGCTCAAGACAGTTTTGAACTTGTCGATTTGGATGTCTTTTAGGGTTTCTGCAATTTTGTTTCACCTCTTCCACATCAACACAACGTCTCCCTTTGAGGACTTTTTTCACGTGGGGAAACAAAAAAAAGTCACTTGGGGCAAGATCAGGTGAACAGGGAGGGTGGGACCCAGGGATGCTGTCTTTGGTCAAAAACTGTTGAACACTCAGTGTGGTGTGGGCAGGTGCACTGTCAGGGTGGATGAACCAGTCACCTGTATGCCACAAAAAAATTCCCTGAAGCCAAATGCAGTCTCTCACAACAACGTTAGCTGGTCCAGATACTGATGGGTTCCTTGAACACTTACCTAGTGGCAGAAGCCTGTACCACAAAAGGCCTGCCCTCCATAAGATAATTCTGATTTTTTTGGGTCCCCCCCCATAAAGTCCAATAAGAAATGCATGCAGCTTTGTTCATAGTTCCACCACTGACTGATGGTCACACCATCCTGTGATATTCAGGTATGTGCTTTGACACCAGTAGGATGTGGGGGCCCCTTTGGAGGACCTCTCTACTCTTAAATCACAGCCCCTACTCATCAACACGACCATCGGATGTGTTTTCCAGATGCTCAGTGAATACTTTATTTGATCCCCTCTGAGGCAGGACAGACATTTCATAGATACTGAGGTCCCATGCCTTGGTCACAAGCCTTGAAATGCTGTGACCGAGACACAAGGAACACAGAAGCATGTCTACCCTCAAGGGGCTTTGTGAGAACCAGAAGTTGTTCCCATCTCTGAGAAGGAACTTGCAGGCCCTGCTTGCTCTGTGAGGGCAGGCCTTACAGTTCCTGTGTCAGAGGGGCGTGGGCAGGGGCTCTCCCGTCGTCAGTCTTTCCACCAGTACCGGTCAGCTTCCTCAAATGAATACCAGCGATCCTCAACCACAATATGGGGTTTCAGGAGCTGCACATTTTTCAGAAGCTCCCCTGTTTCTTCAGGATACTGCCACTTGGACAGCCTGGGAGGAAGAAAGAAGACTCATTACTCGGGACTTGGCTTAGGACGCTTGTCCCTGTTGCAAAGTCCCTGGAAGCCCCAATGATGGTCGCAAACCTCTTCTTGTACTCTTAGGGAGCACAGGCACATTCCCTGTGGAAAGTAGGTAAATCCCTACATGGCTCACCACAACCCTAAGAGGCAGGTGTGATGACTCAGTGCATTCGTGAATTCCTTTGTGGAAGTCTACTTTGTACCAAGTCCTGTTATAAAGCTTGGAGGTATAGGAAGTCCTCACTTCACATTGACTGTTGACTATAGGTTCCTGGAAACTTTCATTTTAGTTTTTTGGGGGGTAGGGTTTCACTCTGTTGCCCAACCTGGAGGTGCAGTGGCATAAACATGGCTCACTGTAGCCTCAACCTCCTGGGCCCAGGTGATCTTCCTGCCTTAGCCTCTCAAGTAGCTGGGACTACAGGTGCGTGCCACCACACCAGGCTAACTTTTTGATTTTTTTAAAATAGAGATGAGATCTCACTATGCTGCCCTGAATGGTCTTGAACTCCTGGGTGAGACTTCCTGCCTCAGCTTCCCAAAGTGCTGGGATTACAGGCATGAGTCACCATACCTGGCTTATACAGTATTTGTCTTTTTATGACTGGCTTATTCTACTTTCTTTCTTAATGTCCTCAAGATTCATACACATTGTAGCCTGTGTCCGAATTTTTTTTTTTTTTTTAGAATTTTCTTTTTAAAGCTGAATAAAATTTTTTGTGTGTATGAGGAGGGACCCCCAAATCCCTGGAACTTATAAAAATTGATATTTATTTTTATGTGTTTAAATGTCAGTCACCTTCAAAGTACTCTCTGTTTGATGCAATATACCTATTGAGATGCTTTTCCCACTGCTCAAAACTGTTTTTGAACTCATCCATTTTGATGCCTTTTAGTGCTTCTGCTGTTTGTTTCACCTCTTTCACGTGGGCAAAATGTTTCCCTTTGCAGACTTTTTTCCCCCCAGGGAAACAAAAATAAAGTCACTCAGGGTGAGATCAGATGAATAGGGAGGGTGGGGCATGGGTCATGGCATTTTTTGGTCAAAAGCTGCCAAGGACTCAGTGTGGTATGGGCAGGTGTGCTTGTAAGTCACCCACCATGAAATGGGCAAATGCATTGAAACAATCTCCAAGATTCAATGAAGTGGAACACAGCCTCTCACAACAATGCTAGCTGGCCCACTGGTGTCGATGGGGTCCTAGAACACTTACCTAATGGGGGAAGCCTCTACTCCAAGAGAACCACGCTCCAAAAGAAAATTCCAAGGTTTTTTGGGTCCCCCTAATATATATCACATTTGGTTTATTCATCCAGCCATGGACAGCAGGGTTTCCCACCTCTTGGCTATAACTGTGAATCTACTATGAACATGGTCATGCAGATGTCTCTTTGAGGTCTTGCTTTCAATATCTGGGGGTATATACCAAGAAGTAAGAGTAAAATTGCTGGCTCTCATAGCAATTCTAGTTTTGTTGTTTGTTTTTGAGTTGGGGGCCAATCATGTCTCCCCACAACCTTGACCTCTTGGGCTGAGGCAATCCTCCCAAGTAGCTGGGGCTACAGGTGTGCACCACCAGGATTGGCTAATTTTTTTTATTTTTTGTAGAGACAAAGTCTTGTGATTTTCTCACGCTGGCCTCGAACTCTGGGGTTAAAGCAATCCTCCTGCCTCAGCCTCCCAATGTGCGGGATGACAGGGGTGAGCTACCATACCCAGTCACAATTCTAGTTTCTGAGAATAAACACCTGTAATACTATCTCTCCACCATCCTCATCCACCCACAAGCAAGCTTTGTGATATCAGGAGCCCTGCCTTCTTCTTCCACCTTCCTGTGTCTCCGGCATCTACCACAGCCCTCAGATCACAGCTGGTGTGCTCCCTGGTCATGTGAAGATCTGCTCGCCAAGCAGCTACCTTAATGGCTCTCAGACACCACTTCACCAACTCATATGCCTGTAGGAGAAGCAGGGGTGTTTCTCAACAGATAAGTGCCGGAGACTTACCCAATTATTCGCAGATTAGATGCAGGATGTGCAAAGGCCAAACACAGTTTGGCCATTCCTTCAGGACCGAAGTCATTCCGAGCCAGGTTTAAACTGGTCAGGTGCTGGTTGTGGGACAGGGCCAGGGTGAGCGCCTCACAGGAGTCGGAAGTCAGGCTGCATGCCTCCAACCTGCAGGGCCAGGACACCCAGGAGATAACCCTAGAGATCAGTGATGGACCCTTCACTCCACCATATACGTTTACCCTCTGCTTTTCAGAGTCAGTGGTGGATTCCACCCACAGAGTTCCTGGCTCAACAGTTCTGGGGAGAGACCCAAATACTTGCATTTCTAGTGAGTTCCCTGGTGAGGCCACTGCCTTGGTTATCACTTTGAGAGCTGCTGGATGACTTATATTTGTAGAAAGAATGAAAGATAAAGACAGGCTGGGTGTGGTGGCTCACACCTGTCATCCCAGCATTTTGGGAGGTCAAGGTGGGAGGACTGATTGAGCCCAGGAGTTCTAGACCAGCTTGGGCAACATGGCGAGATCCTCATCTCAAAAACAAAAACAAACAAACAAAATCTCATAAGTAAATCAGCCAGGTGTGAAGGTGTGTCTGTGGTTTCAGCTACTTGGAAGGCTGAGGCAAGAGGATCACTAGAGCCCAGGAGGTCGCGGTCGCTGTGAACTGTGATCATGCTGCTGCACTCCAGCCTAGATAACAGTGAGACCCTGACTCCAAAAATAATAATAATTAAAAAAAAAAAACCAGAAAGAAAGAAAAAGACTGACAGCACCTGGAACAACAAAAAACGTAACGAGGAGCCTGGAGAAAGACTTGCTGAGAAGGTGACATTGCACTGGAAACTCAGAAGACACGAAGGGAAGAGGGACGTATTGATGAATACATTGATATGTAAGACATGGCATATACGTGGCTCTTGTGGAAGGGAGTGAGGAACACCTGAGGAATAGGAAGACGGCTGGGTGGTGAGATCACCGCCAGAGACAGTGGCGTGAGCTGGAGCTGGACGTTTTCAGCCATCCTAATGACTTCGGATTTTATCCCAGGAGCAATGAGAAGCCAAGGCACATCATGGAATAATAATAGTGGTATTGTATAGGAGTGTTCTGTATTTTTGGAGATGCGTGTTGAGGTATTTGGGTCAGAATGTCAAAATCCCTAACTTAGGTGGGCATGGTGGCATGAGCCTATCATCCCAGCACTTTGGGAGGCCAAGGAAGGAGGATCGTTTGAGCCCAGGAGTATGAGATCAGTCTGGACAACACAGCGAGATTGTACCTCTACAAAGGATGATAATAATACAAATAGCCAGATGTGGTGACATTTGCCTAAAATCCCCGCACTTTGGGAGGCCGAGATAGGAGGATTTCTTGAGTCCAGGAATTTGAGACCAGCCTGGGCAACTTGGTGAGACCTTATCTCTACCATAAAAATAAATAAATAAATACATAAGCCAGGTGTGATGGCACATGCCTGTAGTCTCCACTACTCGGGAGGCTGAGGTGCAAGGATCGCCTGAGCCCAGGAGGTTGAGACTGTGGTGAGCCATGATTGTTGCCTGTGCCACTGCAGTGCAGCCTGGGCAACAGAGGCTGGACCCCAACTCAAAAATAAGTCCTTAATTTGCTGTGAAATACTGATGAGTGTTTAAACTAGGTGGTGGGCATGTGGGTTCTAAGTGCCCTGATCATTCTAGAATGTGCAATTTGGAATTCTCATGACAAGAGATCATTTGTGAGATGCAGCCTAAGCTGTTTAAGCCACCTGTGGCTGGATGCAGAGATGGCGTTGAAGGAAGGTGTACTGTCTCTGTGGGTCTGCTTCTAAAATAATATCTAAGCATGTGTAAAGACAGAAGATGTCCAGCAGAGTGACTGAGGTTGGGGGCAAGGAAAGGCGAGTTGGTGATGATTTGAGGCATGTGTAAAAAGTGGTTGTGGATCACCTATGTGGGGAAATTCACTTTTTCTTTTTTGCGTCAGGGTCTCCTTCTGTCGCCCAGGCTGGAGTGCAGTGGGCACCATCACAGCTTGCAGCATCCTCGACCTCCTGGCCTTAAGTGATCCTCCCACCTCAGCCTCCTGAGTTGCTGGGCTGACAGGTGTGCGCCAGCACCCTGGCTAATTTTTTGATTTTTATGTAGAGATGAGGTCTTGCCTTGTTGTCCAGGCTGGTCTCAAACCCCTGGGCTTAAGTGATCCTCTCATCTTGGCCTCCCAAAGTGCTGGGATGACAGACATGAGCCACCACATCCGGCCATTTGCTGTTTTGTTTAACCCATACTGAGAAGCTAAGCTGGAATCTGCACCCAGGCCTGTGATTCCGCCACGGCTGCATTCCATCTCCCTTAGAGTCGTGAGGACTGGAACACCTTCCCTGTTCAAGCATCATCACGCCTGGGTCTCCTCCCTCCTCTGAGCCCAGCCCCCAAAGAGGCGATCCCAAGAAGTCACCCGAGCCTCCGCAGAGAACTGGTCCTTTGCTTCAGTCCCTCGCACAGTGCTGTGACCCCGCCATCCCCCAGGTTGTTGGCTGTGAGGTCCAAGCTCTTCAGGTGTGGGCTCTCTGAGATGGCGCAGGACAGACTCTTGCAGCAAGCGGTGGTGAGACGACATCTCACCAACCTGCAGAGATGGGAGGGTCACCTGAGCCCAGGCTAGGGTCATGCCATGGCACTCCAGCCTGGGAGACAGAGTAAGACCCAGTCGAGAGAGAGAGAGAGAGAGAGAGAGAGAAAATAAATGCTACCAAGTACACAAAGATGTATAAGGGCCACAACTAAAGTCTGGTGATAACCTAAGTGTCCAGCTTTAGGAAAACTTAACAAAACGCTATGCTATCACGTGGGACTATATCCCATGCTTTATTCATTGCAATCTGCATGTCCTTAAAGACAGAACAAAATGCCAGAACCAAAGCTCTGTGGCTCTTTGGCATTCCGGTTCCCTCCTGGAGGTGACTGAGGGGCAGGGAGGGGACTGCATAAGATCAGACCTGCAGGCATCCAGAGTCCTGTACCTGACACGTGGTGGGAACGCACTTCGTGCCCACTGCCAGGGCCCCTCCTCTGTAAAACGTCAAATGCACAGATGAATCTAGGTAGAGAGAATTCCAGGGGCAACTCTCCTGTCCTGGCCTCCCAAAGTGCTGGGATGACAGGAGTGAATCACCGCACCCGGCCACATTCTTTTTTGTTTTGTTTCGTGTTGTAATTTTTCTACAATTTGTTTAATGATGGAATACTTCTATTAAATGGAAACATTCCAACAGCGATGTCCACATGGCTGTAAGACTGAAGATTTATTTTTGCTAATTGAGATCTTTTATTCATTTTTTTGGAGTCAGTTTGCCACCCAGGTTGGAGTGCAGGGGCATGGTCACGGCTCCCTGCAGCCTCAGCCTCCTGGGCTCAGGCAATCCTTCCGCCTCAGCCTCCCGACGGGACTACAAGTGAGTCCCACCACTGCCGGCTAATTTTTTGATTCATTAGAGTTGAGTCTATGTTGCCCAAGCTGGTCTCAAACCCCTGGGCTCAAGCGATCCTCCGCCTAGGGCTCCCAAAGTGCTGGGATAACAGGTGTGAGCCACCAGGCCCAGTTACATTCTTTCTTGTTTTGTTCCATTTTGTAATTTTTCTACAGTCTGTTTAATGAAGGAAAACTTCTACTTAATAGAAACATTCCAACAAGGGAGGCAGAAAATTGAGCTTTAGAGGGAAAACGATGAAAAGATAGACAAGCACTCCCCCCCACCCCTCACATACAGATGAATTTGGGTCAAATGACCTCCTTTAGAAAATGAACAGGATTTAGGGACCTAGGGCGACTTGGAACTCATAGTTCCTGGCTGGGCATAGTTCCTGGCTCACGCCTGCCACCCCAACACTTTGGGAGGCCGAGGGGAGGACCACTTGAGCCCAGGAGTTGGAGACCAGCCTGGACAACATAGCAAGACGCCATCTCTACAAAAAAAAAAGAACACACAGTACCTGCCACAGGGCTCTTGTTTGGAATCACCTCTCCGCCTGCCCCACACTCATTGTGCTGTTGACACACCCACCCAGCTGCAGTGCCCGCTGGAAGAGCAAGCATTCGTAGATCCCAGAGCTGGGTTTGGGGTCCAGTCTCCCTGCTCACGCCACTGGGGCTTCAAGAAGCCCCAGGTCCCCGTGTGGCAGAGTTGACCCCACCCTCCAAAAGAGAGACTCACTCCAGGTCCTGGAGGCAACAGAAGGGCTCCCTTGTAGCCTCGCACAGAAGCTTCACCCCGCTATCTTCCAAAGGGTTCTCGCTAAGGCCAAGGTGCGTCAGCCGTGCGTTGCCTGCGAGCGCAAGTGCGAGGAAGCCACAGCCACCCACGTCCAGGCCGCACCGACTTAGTCTGTGGGACACACATGGGGGAGGGGAGAGCGTCAGGCTTGCTCTGTGACCGTGGAGTTATCCAGACCTCTCTTGGCCCCAGTCTGTTTCTGTGTAGGAGGGCATCAGGTCCTACTTGCATGGAAGGTGGCGATTAGCCTTAAGTGGCAAGATGGCCCCAAAGCACCTGTCCTGTGATAGGCACAACGCACAGGCTGGTGACTCTCCAAGAGCTTCTGGCTTTCTCTTTTTAATCCTCCTTCACACTCAGTGGACTGGTTTCCTGTGGCTGCTGTAACACAATCACAAACTTAGTTGCTTAAAACACAAACCTGGGCCAGGTGCAGTGACTCACGCCTGTCATCCCAGCACTCTGGGAGGCCGAGGCAGGAGGACTACATGAACCCAGGAGTTTGAGACCAGCCTGGGCAGCATAGAGAGACCTCATCTCCAAAAAAATAAAAATTAGGCTGGGTGTGGTGCCTCCACCTATAATACTAGCACTTTGGGAGGCCGAGGTGAGAGGATTGCCTGAGCCCAGGGGTTTGAGACCAGCCTGGGCAACTTGGTGAGACCTTGTCTCCACAATAAATCTGAAAGTTAGCTGGGCATGGTGGTGCAGGCCTGTAGTTCCAGCTACTTAGAAGGCTGAGGTGGAAGGATCGCCAGAGCTCAGCAGGTTGAGGCTGCAGTGGTTGTGAGCAAGCCGCTGCACTCCAGCCTGGTCGATTACAACTAAAAAATAAAAGCAAAAAAAGTAAAAAAAGAAACAAACATAAGAAATAAAAAAAATTAGCCAGATGTGAATGTGTGTGCCTGAAGTCTCAGCTGCTTGGGAGGCAGAGGAGGGAGGATCGCCTGAGCCTAGGAGGTCAAGCTGTGGTGAGCCATGATCGTGCCACTGCACTCCAGCCTGGGTGACAGAGGGAGACCTCAACTCAAAAAACTAAACACAAACTTGTCATCCTCTAGGTCTGGAGGTCGGAAGTCCACCTCAGGACTCAGTGGGCTAAAACCGAGGGGTCAACTGGGCGTGCTCCTCCTGCAACCTCTGGGGGAATCTTTCCTTGCCTTTTCCAACCCTTGGGGTTGCCCTTGGCCCTCAGCACCTGGCCCTCAGCCAGCCATGGCCTCACCCTCACCTCCATCACACCTCCTCCTCTGACCCCCCGCCTCCTGCTTTCCCTATTAAGGACCCTCCTCATTGCACTGGGGATCCCCAGATAATCTGCCCGGGATAATCTCCCCATCTCAAGATCCATAACTTTGCAGTGACTCATGCCTGTCACCCCAGCACTTTGGGAGGCAGAGGTGGGAGGATCACCTGAGTCTAGGGGTTTGAGACCAGCCTGGGCAACATAATGAGAACTCGTCTATACAAAATAAAAAATAAGAAAAATTAGCTGGGTGTGGTGGCATGTGCCTATAGTCCCAGCTGCTTGGGAAGCTGAGGTGGGAGGATCGCTTGAGCCGTGGAGTCTGAAGTCAGCCTGGGCAACGTAGCAAGACCACATCTCCACACACACACAAAATATTAGCCAGGCATGGTGGTGCATGCCAGTAGTCCCAGCTATTTGGGAAACCAAGGCAGGAGGATTGTTTGAGCCCTGGAGTTTGAAACCAATTTGGGCAATATGGCGAGATTACATCTCCATAAAAAATAAAAAATAAAAAAAATTAGCCAGGCATGGTGGTGTGTGTGCCTGCAGTCCCAGCTACTTGGGAGGCCGAGGTGGGAGGATCACTTGAGCCCTGGAGTTTGAAACTGGCCTGTGTAATGTATTGAGACTTCATCTCCACAAAAAATAAAAAAGAAAAATTAGTCAGGCGTGGTGGCACACACCTGTTGTCCCAGTTACTTGGGAGGCTGAGGCAGGAAGATCACCTGATTCCATGAGGTTGAGGTTGGGGTGAGCTGTGATCGTGCCACTGCACTCTAGCCTGGGCGACAGAGGGAGATCCCAGCTCAGAATTGTTTTTTAAAGGATTCATAACTTAGCAGTCTCTTTTGCCATGGAAGGTCACAGAGTCACAGGTTCTGGGCATTAGGATGCAGATATCTTTTTGGAGTGGGGGCATTACTTACCTACCACACTCAATAGCTCCCCATTACTCATTCACTGGAGAACCTTCAGACTTTCCATGAGGCAGACTAATACATTGAGGTTTTTTTGGGGGGTGGGGGGGTCAGAATGGAGGGCAGTGGCATGCTCACGGCCACCCCAGTGTTGATCTGCTGAGCTCTGGCAATTCTTCTGCCTCAGCCTTCCAAGTAGCCCAAACTACAGGCATGCATTACCATGCCCAGCTAATTAAAAAAAAAAAATTATTGTAGAGAGGAGGTCTCGCCAAGTTGCCTGGGCTGGTCTTGAACCTGTCGGCTCAGGCAATCCACTTGCCTCAGCCTCCCAAAGTGCTGGGATGACAGGCTGAGCCACCGAGCCTGACCTAAGGTATTTTTTTTTTGAATCAGAGTCTCACTCTGTTGCCCAGGCTGGAGTGCGGTGGCATGATCATGGCTCACCTCAGCCTCGACCTCCTGGGCTCAGGCAATTCTCCCACCTTAGGCTCTGAGTTGCTGGGACTACAGGTGTATACCACCATGCCTGGCTTATTTACATGTTTATTTATTTTAGAGACAGGGTCTTGCTATATTGCCCAGGTCAGTCTCAAACTCCTCTCCTTAAGTGATCCCCCCACCTCAGCCTCCTGAACAGCTGGGACTACAGGGGTGTGTGACCATGCCCAGCTAATTTTTTGATGTTTTTGTAGAGACGAGGTCTTCCCATGTTGCCCAGGCTGGTCTCAAACCCCTGGGTTCAAGCATTCCTCCTGCCTTGGTCTCCCAAAGTGCTGAGGTGACAGGTGTGAGGCATTTCACCTGGCAACAACATGTATCCAATAAGGTATCATGGGACAGAAACATACAGAACAACGCTACATATTGATCAGTTGATGAAGAGGTAACCAGAGGTTCCCTGTGTTTTCCCCAGAGGTAGTGACTCAGTGCTGGCTGATTCAGTGTTCGAGGGTGACTTCATAGGACACAGTGACCTTGAGTCACAAGAACCGACAGTCTTTGAATAAGTGGTGACTTCCCACCGTGAGGAGACACAAGGGCAGAGGCAGGATTTTCCAAGGAAGATGAAACCTAGGAGATGGCCGGCGGGGACAGGATCCAGCACACATGGGTCCTTCACTGTGAACACTCCACGCCCGACACTACTTTGTGCTGGGTGACACCGCGCCATGCTAGGAAGTGATGAAGCCCCACAGGGAGGCAAGCCAGACTCACATCAGTCTCTGCAGCCTGCAGTCGGGATGTCTCAGGGACCGACACAGCAGGCTCACATCTTCATCCCCCAGGCTGTTTCCTGACAGGCACAGATGCGTCAAGCTCCGGTTGCTGACAAGGGCCGAGGCCAGGACCTGGTAGCCCTCAGCGGCAAGGCCGCAGCTGTCCAGCCTGCAAGGAGAGAGTCCAGAGAAGAAAGGATAAGGTCTCCATCTCCATCCACCCAATCCATCCAATCTATCCCCTCATCCATTCATCTAGTCCATCCATCCAGTCCACCCATCCAATCCATTCATCCATCTATCCATTCAGTCTATTCATCCATCCTATCTACCTGTTTATCCATCCACCCATCCAATCTATCCACCTGCCTATTCCATTCATCCATCTCTGTTATCTATCTATATCATCTACCACCCATTCATCTATCCATCTCATCTATCTTCTCAGTCTACCATCTATATACTCACCCACCCACCTACCCACCTAATCTACCTAATCTATCATCTATCCACCTATCATTTATCTACATATCAATATATCAATTGATCAATTATCTATCATCTATCTATCTAATCTATCTCTGTCAGTCTTCAGAGATAGAGTCTGTCTATGTTGTCCAGACCAGAACGCAGTGGCATGATCACAACTCACCTTGACCTCAACCTCTGGGGTCAAGTGACCGTCAGCCTTCCGAGGAGCTGTGACTACAAGCTTGAGATACCATGCCTGACTAATTTACTGATTTTTTTTTTAGTTGGAGTCTCACTCTGTCTCCCAGACTGGAGTGCAGTGGCTGCTCCCGGCCACTGCAGCCTCGACCTGCTGGGCTCTGGTGATCCTTCCGCCTCAGCCTTCCAAGTAACTGGAATTACAGGTGCGCGCTACCATGACCGGCTGATTTTTTGATTTATTGTAGAGATGAGGTCTCGCTGCTCAGGCAGGTCTTGAACCCGCGGGCTCAGGCAATCCACTCACCTCAGCTTCCCAAAGGCACGGGATCACAGGCTGAGCCACCGAGCCTGGCTTGATTTTTTTGTAGAGACAGAATCTTACTATGTTACCAGGCTGGTCTTGACTCCTGGGCTGAAATGATCCTCCCACCTCAGCCTCTGAAAGCATTGAGATTTACAGACACGAGTCACTGTACCCAGTGAGGTGTATTCTTAAAGTTTCACCTCTCCCTCTTTTGTAAGGAAGAGAAAAACGATAGTTGATAGATCCGTGCAAATACATGGTGAGGTCCCATTGTGTCTGCCTTTAACTTGCAAACTCAACTCCAGAGACTCAGGATAAGACCAAATATTGTGGGCAATTAGAACTGCCAAGTGCAGAGGGAAATGGACGAATGTGCTCTCTGCTTGGCTGTTGTCAGGACCTGACCTTCCACGGCTTATGATATCAGGCTTTGCCAAAGTAAACCATTTTCCTATTGAAAAGCATGACATTCAGCTGGGTACTGTGGCTCATGCCTGTAATCCCAGCACTTTGGGAGGCCGAGGCAGGAGAATCACTTGAGCTCAGGAGTTTGAGACCAGCCAGGGCAATAGAGTGAGACCCTGTCTCTACAAAAAAAAGTAAAAAAAAAAATTAGCCAGGCACAGTGGCTCACGTCTGTAGACCCAGCTACTTGGGAGGCTGAGGCGGGAGGATCACTTGAGTCCAGGAGTTCGAGGATGTGGTGAGCGGTGATTGTGCCACCGCACTCCAGCCTGGGTGACAGAGTGGGAACCTGACTCAAAAAAAAGTGTGACATTTAACACATCCTGACCCTCAGACATCAACTAGACACTCCATCTGTTTTTTCAAAGCTTAAGTAGTTTTTCGTGTAGCGTGGACATGATTCCAAACACTTATATGGTTTGCTACCTGATGTATGTTTTGCTGTGACAACGACTTGGAATGAACCCTTCTCCCCGTGAGAGAAGGTGACATCAAGACTCATCAGACCCCACGTGTGAGTCACTGACCTCAATTACTGGACTTCAAAATACAAACAAACTAGGAGTTTGATAGACACACTGAGAACTTAAGCAGGCAACACTACTGTCTGTCGTTTCTCCAAGAACCCAGGCTGTGACGGGGCCACCCCTGCTGCCCTGTGAGTGCTGATGCCTCCCAGTGGACACCAGCATCTCTCTCCAGCACCGAGGGACCTTATGGGTCATCGTGGGTCTCTGCTGTGTTGGCAAGTTAGTTTCTCCCAAGAACCTCTACTTAGGCGAGGGGGACCCCAAAAGACTCAGAATTTATAAAAAGTTGTGTATTTACTCTTACATGTTTAAACTTTGGCCACCTTCAAAGTGCTCTGTTTGATGCAAGACGTCTATCAAGATGCTTTTCCCGCTGCTCAAAACAGTTTTTGAACTCATCCGTATTGAGGCCTTTGAGTGCATCTACCGTTTTATTTTTGTTTCATCTCTTCCACATCGGCAAAACATTTCTCTTTGAGGACTTTTTTCATCCGGGGAAACAAAAAAGTCACTCAGAGCACAATCCAGTGAAGTGGGAGGGTAGGGCATGGGGGTCATGTCGTTTTTGGTCAAAAGCTGCCGAACACTCAGCGCAGTGTGGGCAGGTACACTCATAAGTCACCCATCATGAAATTGGCAAATGTGTTGGAAAAAATCTCCCTACAAAAAAAAAAAAAAAATCACTGAAGTCAAACTCAGCCTCTCGCAACAATGTCAGCTGGTCCACAGATGCCGATGGGTTCCTAGAACACTCACCTAGCAGGGAAGCCGGGACTACAAGAGGCCCGCCTTCCAGAAGATAATTCCAGATCTTTCTGGGTCCTCCTTGTACGCCTCAAAATATAACTAGACTTTCCTTTCCCCAGAGGCCTGCTTCTGTCCTAACTGAGCAACTAGACTTCAACAATTCTGGAACTTGCTCACTCTGTGGTGATGTATCTGTTCTCTCGAGGGTTCTCCCATGAGGCTTTCCTGTTACTCCTCCCTTCTTCCAGCATTGGGAGAAAAGGGAAAGAAATTTCTCTGTGTACAGCAGTAAGCCATGTGATCTGTGGGATCATACTTGGATTGCCTCCTTATTTTAGCCACATAACACAAAGTTCTAGTACTTGAAAATAAGTTACTTTGGGAGGCCAAGACAAGTAGATTGCCAGAGCCTGCGGGTTTGAGACCAGCCTGGGCAACTTGGTGAGACCTCATCTGCACAATAAATAAAAAATTAGCCGGGCAAGGCAGTGCGTGACTGTAGTTCCAGTTACTTGGAAGCTGAGATGAAAGATTGCCTGAACCCAGCAGGTCTACCCTGGGGTGACCGTGAGTGTGCCATTGTCCTCTAGCCTGGGAGACAGAGTGAGACTCCAACACCACCCCCCCAAAAAAAGAAAGGAGGAGGCGGGGCGCAGTGGCCCATGCCTATTATCCCAGCACTTTGGGAAGCTGAGGTGAGAGAATTGCTTGAGCCTAGGAGTTTGAAACCAGTCTGGGTAATACAGCGCAACCTAATTTCTACAAAAAACAAAAAAATCAAAAAATTAGCCAGGTGTGGTGGTGTGTGCTTGTCATCCCAGCTACTGGAGAGGCTGAGCCTAGGATGTTGAGGCTGCAGTGAGCTGTGATCAGGCCATTGCACTTCAGCCTGGGCAACAGAGCAAGACCCTGTCTTTAAAAACCAAAAACAGGCTGGGCACAGTGGTTCACACCTGTCATCCCATCACTTTGGGAGGCCAAAGCAGGAGTATTGCTTGAGTCCAGGAGTTCGAGACCAGCCTGGGTAACATAGTGAGACCTCATCTCTACAAAAAAACAAAAAATTAGCCAGGCATGGGGGGTATATGCCTGTAGTCTCAGCTACTCAGGAGGCTGAGAGGGAAGGATTGCCTGAGCCCAGGAGGTTGAGGCTGTGGTGAGCTGTGATCATGCCCCTGCACTCTAGCCTGGGTGACAGAGTGAGACTCTGACTCAAAAAAAAAAAACGAAGGAAGAGAAATTTAAACAAAGATACATACTGGATCCAAACAACTGAGCACAGAGGAAGAGAGGAAGATGGGAAAATAACATGAGGATATTTTCATTAATGATCCATCGACAGGTTCAGCTTAATTTGCAAAGCTGACTGTGGGTACTCCTGACTGTCTGTGCTGCAACCTTGAGGTTATTTCAGACACATACGTGGCTCACCACATGAGGGACACAGGATCCGTGGTGACGAGAGCTTAGAGGGACCTCCTCCTCCCTGCAGGACTATCGTGTTGTGTTTATCAGACCCCACACGTGAATGTCTGGCTTCAGCCATTTGGCTCCAAAATGTACACAGTCCTGAGGTTGACAGAGTGCTGTCCAACAGCTTTCCATGCTGATGGGATGTTCTAGATCTATGCTATTCAATATGATCACCACTGGCCACACAGCTATTGAGCACTTGGCATGTGGCTATTGCAATGGAGGAAATACTTTCAGTTTTTATGCATTTTTTTCCCTCCAGGTTGGAGTGCAGGGACATGCTCACGGCCACCGCAACCTCGACCGGCAGGGCTCAGGCGATCCTTCCGCCTCAGCCTTCCAAGTGGCTGAAACCACAGGTATGTACCACTATGCCAGGGTAATTTTTTTGATTTATTGTATATACGAGGTTTGGCTAAGTTACCCAGGCTACCCTTGAACTCCTGGGCTCAGGCAATCCTCTCGCCTCAGCCTCCCACAGTGCCAGAATGACAGGTGTGAGCCACCACCACACCTGGCTCTGACAGATGCTCTGGATAGGGTCTTTCATTCACCCCACATCAGGGTGCTCCCATGAGGCTCTGACTCCCTGGCCCACCCCCACCCCCACCCCCGGCTGTGCCTCTGTAAAGTCCCCTTCCCCATGACATGGAGGCTGGCCTTTAAGATCAGAAAATTCCGGTGAAAGGAAGTGGGACTCACATCAGCTTCTGCAGGATGCACCGGGAGGCCCCCAAGGCCTCGCAGAGAGGCTTCACCCCCTCGTCTGTCACCTTGTTCCTGGCCAGGCTAAGAGATCTGAGGCTGGTGGACGTCGTGAGGCTTTGGGAGAGCATCCGGCAACAGGCATGGGTCAGTCCACAGTGATCCAGCCTGCAGAAACAGGAAACATGAAACATGCTCCCGGCTCTCGCCTAAGGGAGCTTTTCCCCTCGCACTGGCAACTCTGGCCATTTTCCTGATCCTCAGACGCTGTCCTCCTGCCTCAGGCTTTGAGCAGTCACTGTTCCTTGCATTTGCCTCTCTCCCCTACCGAGGTCTTCAGGAGGGTCAGATCGGCATTCAGGTCTTTTTCTTTTTGAGTTGGGGTCTCACTCTGTCGCCTACCCTGGAGTGCAATGGCACGATCACAGCTCACCACAGCTTCGACCTCCTGGGCTCAGGTGATTCATCCTGCCTCAGCCTCCTGGGTAGCTGGGATGACAGGTGCATGCCAGCACACCTGGCTCATGTTTTTATTTCATTTTTTGCAGAGACCAGGTCTCGCAATGTTGCCCAGACTGGTCTCAAACTCCTGGGCTCAACAATCCTCTCACCTCAGCCTCCCTAAGTGCTGGGAGGACAGGTATGAGCCACTGTGCCTGGCCACTTTTTTTTTTATTGAGATAGGGTCTCACTCTGTAGCCCAGGCTGAAGTGCAGTGGCATGATCACGGCTCACTGTAGCCTTAAACTCCCAATCCTCCTGTCTCAGCCTCCCGAGTACCTGGGACTTCAGGCACGCACCACTACATGTGGCTAATTTTAAAAAATTTTTTGTAGAGATGATGTCTCACTCTTTTGTTAGGCTGGTCTTGAATGCCTGGGCTCAAGCGATCCTCCCACCAGGACCTCCAAAAGGGCTGGGATGACAGGCACGAGCCACTGCACCCAGCCCATTCATGTCTCTTGAATGCCACCCTTTTCAAGGTTAGCAGAACTCATGACCTTAAACCGTGCCCATCCGCCTCACTCTCCTCTGTCCCCCAGCTCTATTCCATGTCATTAAATTCCTAGCAATGATCATCGGCTGACATTTCCTGTGTTATTTGTACTCGTTTGTCGTCTATCTTCCTGCCTACTCTGATGTGTCAACTAGTCTGCTACTGAGCAAGGAGCCTGGCTTCTTTGTGACCCAATCAGGACAACTGGGGATAGCCACGCTACCAACCCCAGTGGTGGTGGTGAGGACAGAACATTAGCATACCCATGAAATTGCAGCGCTGTTTGCAACAGCAAAATCACGGAACCAACCTGTGTGCCCACCAATGGTTGATTGGGTAGAGAAAATGAGGTATAGACATACCATGGAATACTACACAGCCATGAAAAGAATAAAATAATGTCCTCTACAGCAACATGAACCTCCTGGGCTTGGGCTATCCTCCTGCCTCAGCCTTCCAAGTAGCTGGGACTACGTCTGGCTCATTTAAAAAAAATTTGTTTTTGCAGAGACAAGGTCTCACTACATTGCCCAGGCTGGAGTGCAGTGGCATGGTCATGGTTCACCACAGTCTTGACCTCCTGGACTCAGGCCATCCTCCTGCCTCAGCCTCCTGAGGAGCTGGGACGACAGGTTTGTGCCATCATGCTTGGTTGTTGTTACAATTTTTGTAACGATGTCTTGCCATGTTGCCCAGGCTGGTCTTGAACCCCTGGGCTCAAGTGATCCTCCCACCTTGGTCTTCCAAAGCGTGGGGCTGACAGACATGAGCCATCACACCCCTTCTCATATTTCAAGGTATTTTTAAGGATACAGTCCATCGGAACTAAGCTCCCTGTGCTACCATCACCACTGTCCATCACCAGAACTTTTTCATCTTCCCAACTCTTCAAAACTTTTTGTTTCTTTCTGTGAGTAATCATTTCAAGGCAAAAAGTACAGGCAGTCCCCAACACATGAACACATTCCACTCTGAGTGTGTTTGTAAGTTCAATTTAAGTCTGACAAAGTTAGCCTAGGTTCCCAACTCACAACTCAGTCAGCTACACAGGACTATATGGATTTAATGGGCTATACTGACACCTGGTGGGGAAAAATAATACATAAAAATGCAGGTGTGCATCATTAGAGTTCGTAACTTGAAGGTTTGTAGGTAGGGGACTTACTGTAGAAACACGTGAAGAGTCAAGGGACAAAACCCTAGGCCCAACGCTTACCTCAGAGACTCCAGGGAACAGTTGGGGTGTTTTAACGCTTCACACGCCATCTGTATGTCTTCAGCCTTCAGCTGAGAGCTCCCCAGATCGAGGTGTTTAATGTGATGGTTGGTGATGAGAGTCACCCAGAGATACTGGAGGCCAGGGGTGACCTGTGCGTCTCTAAATCTTCACAACATATAAAAGAGATGAATTGACACTGGTGGCATTTAGCTGTATTTTAATTTTTCCTTCTCATCCTTCTCCCCTTCTAACTCTCAAACTTCTAATTATTTGCATTTAATTAAAAAAAATTTTTTTGAGTCAGAATCACTGTTGCCCAGGCTAGAGTACAGTGGCATGTTTATGGCCACCGCAGCCTCAACCTCCTAGGCCCAGGCAATCCTTCTACTTCAACCTTCCGAGTAGCTGAGACTTTTACAAACTATAAAAATTTTTTTTATACCATGCCTGGCTAGAGTTTTGATTTTTGTCAAGATGAGGTTTTGCTATGTTGCCCAGGCTGGTCTCAAACTCCTGGGCTCAAGCAATCTTCCCACCTCGACCTCCCAAAGTACAGGAATGAAAGGCATGAGCCACCATGCCTAGCTAAGCTTTAAATTTTTTTGTAGAGAAACGATCCTCTCACCTTGGCCTTCCAAAGTGCTGGGATGACAGGTGTGAGCCACTGCATTCATATTTATATTTATATTTAATTTTTTTATATTTAATTATAAAAGCCTTACATTTAATTTTTTTTTTGAGTTGGAGTCTCACTCTTGCCCAGGCTGGAGTGCAGGGGCATGCTCATGGCCACTGCAGCCTCAGCCTGCTGGGCTCAGGTGATCCTCAAAACTCAGCCTTCCAAGCAGCAGGAACTACAGGCATGTGCGACCACGCACAGCTTATTTTTTTGATTTATTGTAAAGATGAGGTCTCACCAATTTTCCCAGGCTGGTCTTGAACCCCTGAGCTTAGGCAATCCTCCTGCCTCAGCCTCCCAGAGTGCTGGGATGACAGGCTTGAGCCACCGCGCCTGGCTATATTTAATTTTAAATTAACAAATAGCTGAACACCTATGTTGTGCCAGGCACCAGGAAACAGGGGTCAAACAACACTAACAATACCTGCCCATGTGGTGCTTAATCTAGTGGGGGAGACATTCAACAGAGTCGAACGGACGAGTTATGCCTAAACTACCCCAAGTAGCAAAAACATAGAACCAACACCGGTGCCCACCAACAACTGACTGGCTAAAGAAAATGTGGTACGCATACACCATGGAGTACTATGCAGCTATAAAAAAGGATAAAATCCTGTACTCTGTGGCAACATGGATCTGGCTGGGGACAATCATTCCAAGAGAATTAACACAGAAACAGAAAACGGAATGCCACACGTTCTCACTAAGTGCACACGGGCACAAGGATGGGGACAACAGACACTGAGCACTCCTAAGGGGGGATCAAGGGAGCAGGGGTGAAAGATCACCTCTCGGGTACCATGTCTACCACCTGGGTGACGGGCTCAGCAGAGACCCAAACCTCACCCTCACGCAGTACTTTCACATAGCAAACCTGCACACATTCCCCTGACATCTACAATAAATCTTAAAAAAACAATTGAGGCTGGCCACAGTGGCTCACGCCTGTCATCCCAGTACTTTGGGAAGCCAAGGTGGGAGGATTGTTTGAGCCCAGGAATCCGAGACCAGCCTGGACAACCTAGGGAGACCTGGTTGCTACAAAAATAAAAAATAAAGAAATTAATCAGGCGTGGTGGCGCTACCTGCAGTTCCAGCTACATGGGAGGCTGAGGCGGGAAGATGGTCTGAGTCCAGGAGGTCGAGGCCATGGTGAGCCATGATCGTGCTGCTGCACTCCAGCCTGGGTGACAGAGGGGCCTCTGACTCATAAAGGAAAAAAAAAGCAGCAACTGATAGAAAAGAACTAAAAATCCAATATAAAAATGGACAAAAGATATGAACAGTCATGAAAAAAAGAAACGTCTCTAAAATACATAAAATAGACCCAACCTCACTGCTGAAACATGAAACAAGGTACAGTCCATCAGGAACGGGGTAGGTCTCCCAAGAGGTTCATGGTTGAGTCAAAGACCAAAAGTCGCGTGTCAGGTCTGTGTATACAGAGTGTTACCATTTAGATCAGAAACCATTCACAGACCAACAGACGCCTATAACTGCATGGAAAACTATGAGAAGATGTGCAAGTGATTAATTAGGGTCATGGTTGAGGAGAGGAGTTTGAGGACTTACGGTCATGCTTCCCTTTTTTTTTTTTTTTTAAGTTGGAGTCTCCCTCTGTCACCCAGGCTGGAGGGGGCAGGGGCGTACTCACAGCCACCACAGCCTCCGACTGCTGGGTTCAGCAATTCTTCCGCCTTAGCCTCCTGTGTACCTGGAACTATTGGTGTGCCACCATATCAGGCTAATCTCTTGATTTATTGTAGAGATGAGGTCTCACCATGTTGCCCAGACTGGTCTCAAACTCCTGGGCTCACGCAATCCTCCTGCCTTGGCCTCTCAAAATGCTGGGATGACAGGTGCACGTCACCATGCACGGCTAATTTTTGTATTTATTGTAGAGACAAGGTCTTGCCATGTTGCTCAGGCTGACTTGAACTCCCAGGCTCAGGCAATCCTCCCACCTCAGCCTCCCAAAGTGCTGGGATGACAGGTGCACACCACCATGCCTGGCTAATTTTTGTATTTATCGTAGAGATGAGGTCTCACTACATTACCCAGGCTGCTCTCAAATCCCTGGGGGCTCAGGCAGTCCTCTTGCCTCGACCTCCCAAATAGCTGGAATGACAGGCATGAGCCATGGTGCCTGGCCAGTCATGCTTCCTTAATGATGGAGCTATGTTCTGAGAAATGCATCATTAGGAGATGCTATTACCGTGTGAATGTCATGGGGCGAATTCACACAAACCTAGCTGGTCTGGCCTGCTATATGCCCAGGGTGTGTGGTCCAGCTGATTGCTCCTAGGCTACAGGCTTGCACAGCATGTGACTGTTCTGAATACCATAGGCAACTATAACACGATGGTGAGTATTTGGGAACCTACACATAGAAAAAGCACAGGAAGTTAACCCTCAAAAAGGATGGAATCATGTCTCGGGCAGCAACTCAGATGGAACTGGAGACCATCATCCCAAGGGAATTGAATGAGGACCAGAAAAGCAAAGACCATCTGTTCTTACTTGTCTGTAGGAGCTAAACCAAGGGTCTGCAATGGTGTGGAGAGTGTAGCGTGGCGGACACTGGAGACTCAGAAGTGGGAGGATAGGAAGGGGCATACGGACAAAAAATAATGTCTGAGGCCAGGCGTGGTGGCGCATGCCTGTCATCCCAGCTATTTGGGAGATGGAGGCGAGAGGATTGCCTGAGCCTGCGGGTTTGAGATCAGCATGGGCAACTTGGTGAGACCCCGTCTCTACAAAAAAAACTTCCAAAATTAGCCAAGCATGGTGGTGCACGCCTGTGGTTCCAGTTATTTGGAAGATGGAGACAGAAGGATTGCCTGAGCCCAGCAGGGCGATGCTGGGGTGGCTGTGAGTGTGCCACTGCACTCCAGCCTGGGCAACTGAGTGAGACTTTAACTCAAAAAAATAAAAAATACATTCATATATACATCAATATTTCTCACAAAAAACAAGTAGGTGTGGTGATGAATGTGTTAATTATCCTGGTTTAACCATTTGACAGTGGATCCATACATCAAAACATCTTGTTGGATGCCATCAGTATGTTCAATCTGTAGTTTTCCATTAAAATAATTTTAAGACAAAAATAACTCGATAAAATTTCAAAAAAGCTGCAGCTGGCATCAATGTCCCTAGCTCCAAGGAGCAGCATGAATCTGACCTGAGAGCCACACTGTGTCTGGAAAGAACATTCTGGTCACTGGGCACAGTGGCTCATGCCTGTCATCCCAGCACTTTGGGAGGCAGAAGCGAGAGGACAGCCTGAGTCCCCGGGTTCGAGACCAGCCTGGGGCAACTTGGTGAGCCCTCATCTCTATACTAAATAAAAAACTTAGCCGGCTGTGGTGGCATGCACCTGTGGTTCCAGCTTCTTGGAAGGCTGAGGCGGAAGGATTGTGAGCCCAGCAGGTGGAGGCTACGGTGGCTGGGAGCATGCCACTGCCCTCCAGCCTGGGCGATGGAGTGAGACACTGACTTTAAAAAAAAAAAAAAAAAAAAAAGCAAAACCCGGGCAGGGTGGTTCATGCCTGTCATCCCAGCACTTTGGGAAGCAGAGGCAAGAGGACTGCCTGAGCCAAGGGGTTTGAGACCAGTCCAGACAACATGACGAGGTCTCATCTCTACAATAAATAAAAAACTAGTCGGGCGTGATGGCACACGCCTGTAGTTCCAGCTACTCAGAGGACCGAGGCAGAAGAATCATCTGAGCCCAGCAGGTTGAATCTGCGGTGGCCTTGAATGTACCACTGTCCTCCAGCTTGGGTGGTGGAGTGGGACCCTAACTCAAAAAGAAAAATCACCTCCCTGGTACAATGAGCACAGGAGGGGTGGTGGGCGCATGTAAAGACCAGACTTCTTCACCACGATACAATGCACTGTGTAACCAAAAACCATATGGACTCCCTAAAGCTGTTGAAATAAACAGGGAAAAGGAAAAAGAAATACAGCAAAAACACAGTGTTATAACCTTATAGCACCAGCCTCATATAGGCAAGTAGCCCTTGTTGACCGAGACATCAATTACGCGGGGCACAAGGGCACTTAAATTCCTCGGCATGCTCCAACTCTCCCCACCATGACTGTACATTGCAATTGTGTTACAAACACAGAATGGACAGGGGTCAGAGCAATTTACAGTGTACAGGAGAAGCCTGATGGGGCAGTTGGGGGGCAGAAGCTGAGGGGCAGGGGGGAGTTCCCAGGAGAACTCATTTACTATAACTGAAAGAGAACCAGCCCTGTTGCCCATCGAAAGTGGACTGGATAAAGAAAACGTGGGCCACATACATGATAGAAGATTACGCAGCCATAAAGAAGGACCGAATCCTGGACTTGGCAGCAAATTGGATGGAGCTGGAGACCATCCTTCTTAGTGACCGATCACAGAAACAAAGAACCAAATACCGCATGTCTTTACTCATAAGTGGGTTCTGAACACTAGTCACATTAGCACGAGGGAGGGATTGGCAGTCTTGGGGCACTGACCGGGGAAAGGGAGTGTGGAACAACACACAGGGCACCTGGTCCTAAACCAGGGGAAGTGAGGAGCGGTGGAAAGCCCAAACTTCACCTGCACGTAGACGACTTATGTACCGAATCCTGACTTGTACCCCGCATCTTTACAATAAAATTAAATGAAATTAAAAAAAGAAAATGTGGTCCATATACAGGATGGAGTATTATGCAGCTATAAAAGACAAAATTGTGGACTTTGCAGCAACATGGATGCAGCTGGAGACCATCACACCTAGTGGTTTATCACAGAAACAGAACAGAATGCCATGTATCCCCACTCGCAAGTGGCCCTGATCACTAGTAACACCAGGACAAGGGAGGGACTGGCAGTCATGGGACACTGCTGGGAGGGGGGAGGAAGGAGGGAGGATGGGGACACGTGACCCCTGAGCACCCCCGGGGGAGTGAGGGCAGCCAGAAGCCCAGACTTCACCTGTACACAGCTGACATGTGTAATTAACCCTCACTTGTACCCCACCTCCCTAGAACAAGATACAAGGCAAGAAAACAAAAGATTGGGTAGGATTTTTCTTTTGAGTAGGGGTCTCACTCTGTCACCAAGGCTAGAGTGAAGGGGCATGCTCACGGCCACTGCAGCCTCAACCTGCTGAGCTCTGGGGTCCTTCTGCCTCAGCCTTCCAAGTAGCTGGAACTACAAGCGTGCACTACCACACCCGGCTCATTTTTGATTTATTGTAGAGATGGAGGTGAGAGAATTGGCATTTCTTTTTTTTCCTTTTCCTTTTTTTTTTTTTTTTTTGAGTCAGAGTCTCACTCCATTGCCTAGGCTGGAGTGCAGTGGCACGCTCACGGCCACCACAGCTCTGGCGATGCTTCCACTTCAGCCTTCCAAGTACCTGGAACCATAGGTGTATGCCATCACATCCCACTAATTTTTTGATTCACTGTAGAGACAAAGTCTCACCATGTTGCTCAGGCTGGTCTCAAACCCTGGGCTCAGGCAATCTTCTCAATTCTGCCTCCCAAAGTGCTGGGATTACAAGCTTGAGCCACTGGGCCCAGCAGACTGAGTAGGATTTTAAAGGGGACGGGTGATTATTTGCTATTTTGGGATTGTCAAGGTCCTTGGCACATCCCAGCTTAAGGTAACAGCTCAGAGGAGAGAGGTGGCTGGGGGGGGGAGGCATTTGCACCAGAGAATGTGACTTGCCCTCCCCCTGGGTGTTGCATGAGCCTCACTTGACCTTGGAGGGGACAGGGAAGAGCAGAGCTTTTATCTGAAGCAGAACCAGCACTTGGTGTCTCCTGCTGGTCCAGCCTGGGATCCACCAGGCTTGGAACCTATAAGCTGCTTGCTCCCAGGTGAACCAGCCTGAAAGCGGGAAGGACTGACCTAAAGCATCTTGCAAATCAATGCACTCTGATCCTGCTGTTACCTCTCAAGCTATCATTTGCCTGAGCTAAGCTCCCTCACCCACTTCCCTACGAACCAACTCCTACTCGTACATCAAAACCCAGAGCGGGTGAACCCACTTCCGTGATCCCTCCCCCAGGTCTTTAAGTCACTCCCCATCATGTGCTTTTGGGAACTTGATTCCTACACCTTTTGTCACACTCAGTCCCTTAGGGTATGTCTGTAGGGTAATGAAGGAGTCTTCTCCCACTGGGCAGGGGACAGCAGGGACACCACCGCACCACGGGAGGGGTTCTCTTGTTCTGGGTGGGCAGCCTTACATCAGGTTCTGGATTTTGCAGGTTGGCCGTCTCAGCTTGGCGCAGAGGGTCTTCATGGCCCATTCGGTCAGGACGCTGCCACCCAGGTCGAGTCGCTGCAGGCTGGGGTGGGTGCTGAGCACAGAGCAGAAGTCTTGCCACTGCTCCTCCACAAGGGCCTGGCCCCGCGTCCTGTGCCGGAGAGAGAGCACACACATGCTTCTGTGGGATAGAAGCTGACCCGAGCCCCCCACAGCAATGCCAGGGAGAGCACCCAGCCTGCGGTAGAAGGCATGCATGGCTTCAGAGTCATGCTTTTACACAGTGGGCCCTCTGCCTCAAGTTCTACTGTGGGATAAGTGTCCCTCACCATCTTCCCCACTAACCAACTCCTACTCACACTTCGAAACCTGGAGTAGGCTGCATTTGGTGGCTCAGCCTGTCATCCCAGCACTTTGGAAGACCGAAGTGAGTGGATTGCCTGAGCATGCAGGTTCAAGACCTACCTGGGCAACTTGGCAAGACCTCATCTCTACAATAAATAACAAAAATTAGCCGGGTGTGGTAGCTCAGGCCTGTAGTTCTGTCAACTCAGAATGCTAAGGTGGAAGGATCGCCAGAGCCTAGCAGGTCGAGGTTGCAGTGGCCGGGAGCATGCTACTGCACTCCAGTCTGGGCGACAGAGTGAGACTCCAACTCAAAAACAAAACAAAATAAAAAAACAACCCCAAAAGCAAAAACCTGCAATAGATGGACCCCCTTCCAGGGTCTCTAGTCACACCCCATCCCCCATGCTTGTGGGTACTTGGTTCCTACACCTCCCATCGCACCTATACCCTCGGAGTAGATCCACGTTGCCTAAAGAATATTTTGATACCCATGGGGATATACCGGAATGATTAGGAGCTCTCAGCCCTTGAACCAGAATTCTGCTTCAATTCCAGCTCCCCCTTGAAGGTGAACTGGCTACAGAAGACAGCAAGGAGGTTCCTCAGAAAATTAAACAGAGGACTAAGCATGGGGCCCAGCAGCCCCGCTCCTGGGTATAAACTCAAAAGAAGCGAAGCCATAATCCTAAGGTGGTATTAACTCTTCCCTATGAGCAGGGTCCACACCAGCTTGGATGCGCAAACCACCCAGATGCCCCTCAGTGGGCAAGCGGGTAGAGGAGATGTGGTCTCCACACACAAAGGAACACTGGGCAGTCCTAAGGAAGAGGGGAGCCCTGCTGTTTCTGACAGCACGGGTGGGCCTGGAGACGAGACCACCACACTGCATGGGAGAAACCCGTCCTAGGAGCACACGTCCTGCGTGACCCTCCTTCCGGGAATGGCCCAGATCAGCCAGGTTTGGAGAGGCAGAGAGGGGAGCAGTAGTTCGGGGGGCCTAGGGGGAGGGGAAGAAGGCAGGGAGTGGCTGTGTGCTGGGAAGTTTCGGTGGTGCAGGCCAAGGAGGCGCTGAAGACCCACTGCATTGAACACTGGAGGATGGCAGCAATGGAGGCCAGGTGCAGGGACACACACCTGCAGTCCCAGAGCTTTGGGAGGCCGAGGAGGGAGGATGGCTTGAGCCCAGGAGTTTCAGCCTGGGCAATGGAGCAAGGCCTCATTAAATAAGCAAATAAACAAGTAAATAAGTAAATAAAGAAATGAGCAAACAAGTAAATAAGCAAAGACTATACAAATGAATACACAAATAAGCAAATAAATAAGTAAACAATAAATTGCAAATAAGTACATAAACAAATAAGTGAATAATACATAAATAAAAACACAAATAAATAAGTAAATAAACAAACATAAAAATATAAAACTTAAAATTAAAATTAAAAAACAAGCCAGGCATGGTAGCACGTGCTTGTGGTTTCAGGACTCGGGAGGTCAAGGAGGGAGGTCAAGAGATCGAGGCTGTGGTGAGCTGTGATTGTGCCACTGCATTCCAGCCTGGGTGATGGAGTGAGACCCCGACTCAGAAACCAAAAAAAGTTGAAACAGAATAAGATGGAAGCTTCACTTTCTCAGCCTCGCCATTTCGAGCAGTCACTAGGCATACAGGACTGTGGTCACCCTCCTGGACAAGGCTAATGGAACATTTTCGTTGCTGCAGAAAATTATACTGGATAGTCCCACTCTGACCCGACACCAAACACGTGGTCCATGAGCCTGAATGGTAACACCAAGGGGGGAAGTTCAAAAAGAAACCTCACCCTCGTGGGCTCAGCCCAAAAGTCCAGTATTTTCTTTCAGTGTCGGGGTCTCACTCTGTCCCTCAGGCGGGAGTGCAGGAACATGATCATGGCTGTTGCAGCCTCGACCTCCCGGGTTCAGGTGATCCTTTCGCCTCACCCTCCCAAGTAGTTAGGACTACAGGTGTGTGCCACAATGCTCGGCTCATCTAAAAAATTTTTTTTGTAAAGAAGGGATCTTCCTATGTTACCCAGGCTGGCTTCCAACTCTTGGGCTCAAGCGATGCTCCCTCCTCCACCTCTCAAAATGCTGGAATGACAGGTGTGAGCTGCCACGCTGGCCTAGGGGCCTCATGTTTTGAAAGAGCTTATCCAGTATGTTCTCACTCATAAGCAGACCTTGAACAACTATCATAATCCTATAAGAAAGGGATTGGCAGTAGTGGGAAACTGCCAGGGGAGGGTGGTGGGATTGGCAGTTGAGGGAAAGTGCCAGGGAAGGGAGGGGCACACCTCATCACCAAGGGTACCTGCATCTTCAACGTTTGTATACCTAATCCTGAATTGTACCCCACATCTTTAAGATTAAAAAAAATTAAATTAAATAAAAAAGAGTGTATCTAGCCACAGACGAGCCAGGTGCTGCCATTTTAGCTGTCTGGGCAACAGCCGGGTGAGTCATCTTCAAAGAATCACCCAGGTCCCTGACACTTCTGGAAATCACGTCAACCCAGCAGCAGGGAGACAGAGATTCGTGGACGGGTGGGGGGGGCACAAGTCGCCCCGGGGACTCACCACTGGGGAGCCCCGGGCCACATGCCCGCAGGCTCGTCCCTTGAGAAGATGTCTCTGACATCCACCCGGATTCTCCGCAGAAATGGGCAGCACCGGAGACAGAAGGCAGACACGGCCAAGTCCATCCTCTGGCCAATTGGGAGCCGCACTTCCCGGAAGCTCTCCAGGGCCGTGTGCACACACTCCTCGTCCTGCGTCTCGAAGAGGCAGTGGAAGGCGTCCAGGACGTCCTCGGGGGGGCAGGGCCCCTGGCCCAGCAGGGAGACCCAGCCCAGAAGCGTCTGCTTCACCTGCAGGGGCACGGGACAGCCCAGCAGGACCCCCAGCGCCCGGGACGCATCTCTGCCCACAAGGCCGAACAGGAAACGCTTCATCCACGGCCAGTGGTGGTGGATGCCCGTCTGCCTCAGCTCCACCCAGACCTTCAGCTTCTCCACGGACGGGGGGCCCATGACCGGCTCTCCCCCCAGCTCCTGCAGGACGTAGTACAAGGCTGCACAGAACCCCTGGAGGCTGGGATGGAGGAACTTATAGTGCCTCTCGGGGAGGCTGTCCTGGAGGAAGACGCCCGTGTGGAGCAGAGTGGACAGCTGAGGCTCCCCGAGGTCATGGGCCAAGAGGTCATCACGGTCAAATGCAGACTTCAGACTCCACACGCCCCCCGCAGCCAGGCGGCACACACCCTGCAGGACAGCCGTCTCTGCGGGACCCAGGCAGCGTGGGAACACAGCGTGGGGGGCCAGCTGGTGGAACACAAAAGTGGTATACAGGCTGGTGAGGGTGTGGCAGGCAGGGCCTGGGCCCTCGCCCGTTGCCTCCTGCAGCCGCAGGGCCTCCTGGACAAGCTGGCACACGGCCGGTGCCCGGCACTGGTCGAAGAGCTGGTGGTTGGCCATCACTGCGCGTGGCCCCTGCACCCCCTGGTGCTCTCCGTCTGCCGTGTGTCCCAGCAGCAGCCACTGAGCCCTCCTCTCTGCTGAGATGCCCTTGACCAGCAGGTAACGGGCAGCCACGGCCACCGACTGGAGCTTCCTCAGGCCCGTGTCCCTGGAGGTGACCACCAAGGAGGACTCAGGCAGCAGGACTTTCTTCAGCAGGCTGCCGATCAAGATGGACGCGGGCTGTTTCTCAGCCCAGTCACTGCAGAGCCTGGGCCTGTCGGCCCTGAATGTAGAGTCTAGGTCATCAAAACTATCCACAACGAACAGGAGCCTGGCCGGTTGGGACAGGATATCCGCCACAGGCACCTGGGAGTCCGGCCACTCCCTGGAGATCAACTCTGCAAAGCTGGTTTCCCTCCTTTTGGTGTCTCTGGTGTGGAGAAAGAAGATGTAAGAGAACCTGCCCGGATAGAGCTGGCCTCGTGCCCAGCTCAGCATAATGCTTCGGGCTAGTGCCGACTTCCCCACCCCAGGCTGTCCGTGCAGGACCACGGTGCGGGGCTGGAAGCCCGTCTGGTCTGGGTTGAAGGCGTCCATCAGCAGGTGCGTTTCTGGCCAGTCCAGGGCGACTTTCTCAAAAAACTCGGGGTCTGCATCCATCTTTGTGGCAAACTTGGTCATCACGTGATGCTTGTAGCCCCAGCTGTCGTCTTCGTGACCTGAAGTCAGACAGGGAAGGATAAGAAATGAAAAAAGTCTGAAGAAAGTCTGGATCCTAGTAAAAGTAAAACACAAGACAAAGACCCTGAACCCAGAGTCAGTGGACGCTGAGTCAGACGGCGTCCATACGAGGGTCTTCTATTACTTCCTGGAGATGAGCTGTGCATGTTTCATTCCCTTCTTCAAAGATCACTATCTTGTGGGTGTGGTGGCTCACACCTGTCATCCCAGCATTTTGGGAGGCCAAGGCAGGAGGATCACTTGAGCCCAGGAGTTCAAGATCAGCCCAGGCAATATAACAAGACCCCTATCTCTATAAATGTGTAAAAAGTTAGCCAGGCATGATGGCATGTGCCTGTAGTCCCAGCTACTCAGGAGGCTGAGGCAGGAAGATCACCTGAGCCCAGAAGGTTGAAGCTCCGGTGAGCTGTGATTGTGCCACTGAATTCTAGTCTGGGTGACCTCAACTAAAAAAAATTATTTATTTTTTTCACATTGCCCTGTTTTACTTTTATCCCAACATTTATCACAATTTCTTGTATACATTTGGTTATCGTCTAGCCCCAGCTTACAATGTGAAGGGGTGAAGTCAAAACAAAGCGACTTTGTGAGAAAACAGCCATGCCCACATTGCTTAGGCTTTGTCACATGCTGCTAGCTGTCTGTCCCACTTCCCAATCATCAGCCAAGGACAGACCAGCTTTCTGGAGGCCGTTGTTGGTCATCGTTTTGCCTCTCCCAAGTATATCTTGTTCTGATGACTCCTCTGTTCTATGTTTTCCAGTCACACAGGACCAAGCCGACCAAACTGTAATCTGCCTTTCGTGACTGCCCACCAGCCCACCAGGGGCTGAAAATCCTGGTGTCCCAGGGTTGGTTGCCCTAACAAATGCCAAGGACACAAGACCGATGTCATCAATACTTAGGAACGCAGCTACTGGAGATTTTTCATTTTTACACTGTCTCCTTGATTAAAACTTGAAAAGCCCTCCTCTCTCAAACCTCCTTACTGCACTGCCTCATAGTGTCAGTCCCATTCAGGTTCTATCCTGAATGCAAATAAACTCTTTTACTTTGTCTTTATTCCTGTGGCACCAGCCTACTCCTGCCTCAGTTTACCCTAATACAATGTAAGCTGATGAGAAAAATGCCTTGCCTGTTTACCTCAAAGCCTCCAGTCTCTGATATCCAATAGCTACTCAATGAACAGGAAAATATGCCTACCCTGGGACCTTAAATGTATTGATATTACCATTTTCTTAAAAAAAGACAGCAAGATTCTCTCTGCCCACATGTGGAATACAATTATTAACTCTATGCAAAAGTTCTAAAACTTATACTTTACTATGGTTGTAACTTGGGTAACTGTGGAGGCCCCCCAATACCAAATCTACAATGCTCAAGCCTCATATAAAATGGCATGGACTGGGCTCAGGAGCTCAGCCTGTGATCCCAGCACTTTGGGAGACTGAGGCAAGTGGATTGCCTGAGCCTGTAAGTTCAAGACCAGCCCAGGAAACTTGGTAAGACCTCATCTCTACTATATATATATATAGATTAAATTAGCCGGGCATAGTAGTACGTGCCTCTAGTTCCAGTTCCTTGGAAGGATTGTTGGAGTCCAGCAGGTCAATGCTGGGGTGGCTGTGAGCATGCCACTGCATTCCAGCCTGGGTGATGGAGTGAGATTCCAACTCAAAAAAACCCCCCCAAAAACTCCTAAAATGGTATGGTATTAGCACATAGCCCTGGCCCATTCTCCCACATACTTTATTTTATTTATTTATTTATTTTTGAGTTGGAGTCTCACTGTCTCCCAGACTGGAGTGCAGTGGCCGCTCCCGGCCACCGCAGCCTCGACCTGCTGGGCTCTGGCGATCCTTCTGCCTCAGCCTTCCAAGTAGCTGGCATGCGCTACCATGCCCGGTTCATTTTTTGATTTATGGTAGAAATGAAGTCTCGCCTGCCCAGGTGGGTTCCGAACCCGCGGGCTCAGGCAATCCACTCACCTCAGCCTCCCAAAGGCACGGGATTACAGGCTGAGCCACCGAGCCGGCTGACTCCCACATACTTTAAATCACCTCTTGATTACTTGTAACACCTAACACAATGTCTACACTTCATTCACATGGATCCGGTGGAGTACTACTTGGCATACAGCAAATTCAGGTTTTGCTTTTTAGAACTCTGTGGAATTTCTTTTTAACCCAAACATTTTCAATACAAGTTTGGTTTGAATCAGGGAAAGGCATTAACAGACTTGTATGAAAACTTCAGAAAGCAGACCTCGGGACCCGAGCCTCTATTTGCTATGATCAGACCAACAAATTACGCTCAGACAAATGATGGCTGAACTAGTGGATTATAGGGTTTCTTCTTTGGAGTTGGGGGTCTCAGTCTGTCACCAAGGCTGGAGTACGGTGGCATGATCATGGCTCATCACAGCCTCGACCTTCTGGGCTCAGGCGACCCTCCTGCTTCAACCTTCTGAGTAGCTGGGACTATAGGTGTACACCACCATGCCTGGCTATTTTTTGAATTTTTGTAGTGACAAAGTCTTGCTATATAGCCCAGGATGGTCTTGAGTTCCTGGGCTCAAGCAATCCTCCTGCCTCAGTCTCCCAAAATGCTGGGGTATTAGGCTTGAACCACCGTGCCCTGTCAGGCTTGACATTTCAGTCAGTAACTATCAACATTACCATTTATCAGATCATCTAATTAGGTGGGAGCAGTTTCCCAGAGCCTCTTGTTCAGAACTTTGGTAATCACCATGTTCTCTTGGTTTTGCATCTTGAATATCTCACACAAATCAAGTCCCTTCTTTCCATCCAGCCTCCTTGTCTTTGAATGCTCACAGCATCACACAAGAGCCCAGAAGTGGAAAGAACCCAAATTCTTATCAACTGAAGGGACTGAGAAAATGTGGTCTGTTCATACAATGGAATATTATTCAGCAAGCAAAATGAATGAAGTGTTGTTACATATGTATGTCTCATGATTCACACTGATACTACAACATGAATGAACTTTGGAAACATGATGCTAAGTGAAAGGAGCAAGTCACTAGGGTGGGGCATGGTGGCTCATGCCTGTGATCCCAGCCAGCACTTTGGGAAGCCAAGTTGGGAGGATCACTTGAGCCCAGGAATTTGAGATCAGCCTGGAGAACACAGTGAGACCTTAGCTATAAAAAAAAAAAAAAAAAGAAAAGAAAAGAAAAAGAAGAAATAATTAGCTGAGCATGATGGTACATGCCTGTAGTCCCATCTATTCTGGAGGCTGAGGTGGGAGGATGACCTGAGCCTAAGAGGTCGAGGCTGTGGTGAGCTATGATCATGCCACTGCACTCCAGCCTTGGTGACAGACTGAGGACTCCAACTAAAAAAAACAAAACAAAACCAGAAAGAAGTCACAAAAAGCCACATAATGTATCCTTCCATTTCTATGGAAGGTACAGATAGGTGACTTTATAGAGACGGAAGTTGGTGGTTGTCTGGGGTCTGGGGGGAGAAAAAAATGAAGGGTGATGGCGAATGGGCATGATATTTCCTTTTGACATGTTTTGGAATTAGTGGGGACAACTAGACAACTGAATACGCTGAAAATCACTGGACTGCACACTTCAAAAGGGTGAACTCTGTGGCGTGCGAATTACATCTCAGTAAAAGACCCTCAATTGAAATTTCCCCAGGGAAGTCTGCTCTGACCTTCTTGACCATTCAACTCCCATTTCATAGAGTTGTAGCATGTGAGATTGTGTCTTCGTTTCACATCTTTGGTTTAATTAATGTATAACTCAGGAATATAAACACTGTGAAGACAAGAAATATATTTGTCTTACCACTATAATTCCATCACAGTTCTTCAATGGTAGGTATTCATTAAATATTGGGTGACAGAAGGAATTAAGAAAATAATTACTACTACTTGAGTGATTAAAACAAATTTTTTGACCGGGCGCAGTGGCTCAAGCCTATAATCCCAGCATTTTGGGAGGCCAAGGTGAGAGGATTGCCTGATGCCATGGGCTCAAGAACAACCTGGGCAACTTGGCAAGACCTCATCTCTACAATAAGTCAAAAAAATTAGCCAGGTGTGGTGGTGCATGCCTGTGGTTCTGGTTACTTGGAAGGCCGAGGGAGAAGGATTGCCTGAGTCCAGCAGCTCGATGCTGGGATGGCTGTGAGCATGCCACTGCATCCTGTCTAAGCAACAGAGTAAGACTCTGATTCGGGAAACAAACAAACAGAAAACAATTTTTTTTTGAGTTGGGTTCTCACTCTGTCACCCAGGCTGGAATGCAGTGGCACAGCTTACTGGAGCCTCGACCTCCTAGGCTCAGGGGATCCTCCCACTTCAGTCTCCCGAATAGTGAGGTCTCCAGGAACATGTCATCATGCTTGGCTAATTTTTAAAATTTTTTTTGTAGAGATGAGAGGTCTCGCTGTGTTGCCCAAGTTGGTCTTTTGGGCTTAAGCATTCCCCCTGCCTGAACAAAGCACTTGACTACTTGTATCTGTCTGTTTAGAACTCATCAAGGGCTGAGCTTGGTGGCTCAGCCTGTAATCCCAGTGCTTTCGGAGGCCAAGGTGAGTGGATTGCCTGAACCCACGGGTTCGAGACTCACCCAGGCAACTTGGCGAGACTTCATCTCTACAAGAAATCAAAAATTAGCTGGGCATGGTGGTGCACACCTGCAGTTCCAGCTACTTGGAAGGCTGAGGCAGAAGGATCGCCGGAGCCCAGCAGTTCGAGGCTGCGGTGTCCAGGAGCATGCCACTGCACTCCAGTCTGGGTGATGGAGTAAGACTCCAACTCAAAAATAACGAACAACAACAAAAAGAACTCAAACACACTTGATGTTCAAGTCCACTAGAATGATGAGTACTTTGGAATTTATCTCCATATAACATGACCAGATCGTTGCAGTGAACACGATGACTCTATTCACGGTGCTGATCCCAAATGCTCTCAGGGAAGGGACCAATGGAGACTATGGGCTTGGAGACTGGAAAGTGGGCTTCCCTGCCATCTGAACCACTTCTCTTTCACTTAACTTTATTCCAGAGTGGCAACAAATGAACAAATTTGTTTTCCTCACCTTGCTCTTTGGTCTCTACTTCTGTGGTACCCTCTTGCTCCACAGCTTGTGAAAATTCTGCAAAAGAGAGAGAAGAATGAAATCCTACATACTTGGGTTTATGCTTCAGATCAGGGCTGGGCAGACACCCCTGAGATAAGCTTGGCCATCCCACGTTTCGCCTTTTGACCAACTTGGAGCAAGACGACTGCTACCTCAGCCAGAGGGGCAGAGTGAGTACAGTGAGCACTGACTCAAGACCTGATACTTCAAGATCAAAAGTGTATTTCCACAAAGAACTGAATATTGGATTTTCTTACTCACAAGTGGGCCCTTGTGAGGGGTCACATGAGCACAAGGGTGGGATTGGCAGATGCTGGAAACTGCTAGGGAAGTAGCAAAAACATGGAACCAATCTAGACGTCTATCAAAAGTGGATGGAATAAAGAAAATGTGGTATTATGCAGGCATTGAGGAGAACAAAAGCATGGCCTTTGCAGCAACACGGACGCAACTGGACACCATCATACTAAGTAAACTATCTCAGAATCAGAGAACTCAATACCACATGTTCTCATTCATAAGTGAGCTGGGAACAATAGTCACATAAGCACAAGAGTGAGAAGGGTGAATGGCAGACACTGCTGCAGGGGAAGGGAGGAAGACGGGCATGGGGCAACATACTGTGTGTCTGGTCCACTCTCGGGGGAGAGAGAGGGCCCGCTGGAAGGCCAAACTTTACCTGCCTGCAACTTATTTATGTAGTAATCCCCACATGTACCTCACAACTCTAAAATAAAATATTTAAAAAGTGTGTTTCTATACACTGGCAACAATTAATAGAATGATTTCACTTAGAACAGCATGAAAATAACAAAATATTTCAGAACATAGTTACCGAATATAAGACTTGTATACTGAACACCAAAAAACATAATTTTAAAAAAAGGAAATTCTAAGTAAATGGCAAGACTAGCCTCTGTTCATGGGCTGGAAGTCTTAACAGTTGTTAATATGGCGATATACTTAATGTTGATGGACACAAGTTAATGTTTCCTGTAGCAAAATCCCAGCTGCCCTTTTCTGGGCAGAAATTGCCAAGTGGATCCCAGAATTCATATAGAAATCTAAGGGACCAGATCAACCAAACAATTTTCAAGGTGAGTTGGAGAAACATTTTTCCTGATTTCAAAACTTTCCATACACCAACAGCACTTAAGTCAATATGGCAGGGGTACCAGGACAGACACAGAGATCGGTAGAATAGGATGAAGAGTCCAAAAATAAATCCCACACATCTACAATTCTAGGCAAGAGTCACTAGATGATTTAATGGGAAATAACAGTCTTTTCTTTTTGCTTCTTTCTGTTTTTTTTTTTTTTTTTTTTGAGTTGGGGTCTCACTCTGTTACCTAACAGACTGGAGTGCAGTGGTATGATCATAACACACCGCAGCCTCGACCTCTTGGGCTCAGGTGATCTCCCTGCCTCAGCCTCCCAAGTAGCTGGGACTACAGGCATCCACCATCATGCCTGGCTCATTTAAAAAAAAATTTTTGTAGAGAAAAGTTCCCACTATGTTGTCTAGGCTAGTTTCAAACTTCTGGGTTCAAGTAATTCTCCCACCTTGGCCTCCCAAAGTGCTGTAATTATGGGTGTGAGTCACAATGCCCAGCCAAGAATTGTCTTTTCAACAAATATTTCTGGAGAACTGGATATCCACATGCAAGAGAATGAAGTTGAGCCCTCTATCCTCACGCCATATGCAAAAATGAACTCAGAATGAATTGAGACCTAATGCTTTGGAGAGTTATGACTATAAAAACCTTTAAAATATTGGTGTAAACTTTCTGATTTTGAATTAGACAATGTTTTTTTTAAGATATGACACCAAAAGTGCAAGAAATTAAAGAAATAAATTTGTCTCTATAAAATTAAAGCCTCTTATGCTTCCAAGGACACTATCAAGAATGTGAAAAGTGCTAGGTGTGGTGGCCCACGACTGTCATCATAGCACTTTGGGAGGCGGAGGTGAGAGGATTGCCTAAGCTCAGGGGTTTGAGATCAGCCTGGGCAACTTGGAAAGACCTCATCTCTACAATAAAAAAATTAGCCAGGCAAGGTGGTATGCACCTATGGTTCCAGCTACTTGGAAGGCTGAGGTGGAAGGATCGCCTGAGCCAGCAGGTCGAGGCTGTGGTGGCCATGAGCGTGCCACTGCACTCCAACCTGGGTGACAGAGTGAGATGACTCAAAAAAAAAAAATAAAAATAAATAAATAAAAATAAAGAATCTGGAAAGACAAGCCAGAGAATGAGGGGATATATTTTCAAATGATTTATCTGCTAAAGTTCTAGTATCCAGGATATATAATGACCAATTACAAGTCAGCGATGATGATACAATGCAATTTCAAAACAGGCAAAGGATTTGAACACACATTTTTCTGAAGATAAGGAAATGGCCAACAGCACATGAAGAGATTCTCCACATAATTAGGAAAATTCAAGTCAGATCCACAATGACCTACCTGACACCTACTAGGATAAAAAAAATACAGAGAGTAGCAAATGTTACTACAGCTCTAATGAAGTGTTGGTGGAGGCTCAACATTGTCCTGTGGCTTAGGAAAAACAGTTGGTACTTCCTTAAAAGGTGAAACATAGTTGCCACAGGCCCCAGCAATTCCACCTCTAGGTCTATACCCACCAAATGGAAGACAAGTCTGCATAAACATGAACATGAAGGTGTATGGCTGCATTATTCATAATAGAAACCCCCCGACCATCATTGGTCTATCCATAAATGGAATATCACTCAGCCACGAAAAGGCATGAATTCCTGATACTTGCTACAACACAGACAGATTTGTAAAACATTATGCTCAGAGTCAAGGACGCCAGGCACAGAGCACCACAGACTGTACAGTTCCATTTATCTGAAAGGTCTGGGAACAGACAACTTATACAGGAACAGAAAGTAGATCAACGAAGGGGGTGTGGTTGCCAGTAGGTATGAGGTTTCTTTTAGGGTGATGAAAATTTCTGAAATTTGGTAATAGTGATGGTTGAAGAACTCTGTTAATATACTAACAGCACTGCGTGGTATTAAAAAGGAGAATTTTAGCTGGGCTCGGAGGCTCAGCCTGTAATCCCGTGCCTTTGGGAGGCTGAGGTGAGTG